GGAGCCCGTGGACTCTCGGAGTCCCGGAATCTGCTGTTTCCCCCTTGAAAAAACAACATATAATAGAAGAAAAATTTTGTGCAAAATGATCAATTCAAAATGTTATAGTCATAAATGTAAGTGAACCTGATGTGAGATATTTTAGTTATTACGCAATTTAATTTGAAGAGAAAACAACTGAGCACTAACATATTGATTATTATATTTTCAAGGAGAAATAAATCATCCCTGAATCAATATTTTCATATCTTATACATGAAAATAAAAATCTTAAAAAAATTTTTCGAGATAAAAAATGAATAATTCACATGAATCAATACTCAAAATAATAACGACATATCTGCATCGTTATTCATTTATATTTTATTTTTCTCCCCTGAGTCATGACTTATACCTATATCTTGCACTACGAAGTATGTAAGATACTTATATAAACTTCTACACTTTTCTTTTCGAATAAAAGAATAAGTGTTTAAAGAAATCTCCAATAAATTAAATTCGATATTTCCTAGTAATTTTTCTGTCACATATTATTTAAACATACCGCTAGGTCCCAATAGCCACAAATATAATTGGACAGGACGTGGATCAGGAGAACTGTAATGGGTATAATAAGAACCCTGTGCGAAGTGAGACATCATGCCTAATGATAGAAAGAAAGACAAAGATGTCTCATAGTTATACATATTTTTGTAAGTTTTTAATAATTGCATTTGCTGTGGATTCAAAATATCGCACATTTCGATGATCATATCAGATGCTAATGATATATTTGTTAAAATCATTTCAGAAATTGATTTGTCATCGATAATAGAAGAACGTTTTGACATATCGAATTAAGAAAATAGGATGAGTACGTGTATATATAATCTTAACATAAAAAAGAAATATTTTTCATCGATAAACAATGTGAACACCGTTATCGTAAGCAAAAAACATTAGATAAGAATTTTTATTCTCTCTGAATATATTACAGCTAGCTGTATTGTATTTACTTAGCTCTTCCAGTACTTGATCGACACCTACTTGACTTTGACGTTAAGCGTTAATTTTTCCACTGTTCATAGTTAGAATTAATACAACATCCTTTTAAATAGAAATAAACACCAAGGACATATATCGTATAGTGAATACTTTTAGAGATCATCATCTATCTTATTATATTAATAAAGAAAATACAACAAGTGATATTTATTGCAAAACAGAGAGATATCTTATGAGATACCCTCGATCAACTGTTTTCCATATGTTGTTCTCGTATTTTTTTTCTGTTCTCTGTCTTCTATATTTCCTCGATCAGATGATATCTATATATCGTTCTCGTTTTCTTTCTTTCTTTCTTTCTTTCTATTCTTTCTATTTATATGCACTTAATCAGCTGATATATCTTCTGTGATGTTTCCTTTTTCTTCTCTTTTCACTAAACCCTTGTTCAGATGTTTCTATTTGTTTTCTTCTTCACATCTTTTATAACCAAGAAAAGAAGATGTATCATCAATACGCCGAAATACGATTCGAAGAACATTAAAGCTTTTTTATATTTAAAGATCTAAATTTACATTAACAAATGCCGATTCAATTCGTTTTTCTATTTTTTTTCATCTTATATGTGAATTCCAACCACAAATTAACATGAAGATGATCCAACGTGATCGTTCAGTCACCCATACTGTTTTTGAATCGATTCGATTTAATCACATTCATATTGAAATAAAAGATAAAACATCACATGTTTGTATTCACTTCTTCGGAGGTATACGATTAGACTGTTTTCGTTGTAATCCTGTTTTAATCAATTTTATTTTAAACACATGCGATGGATGCCTGTTGAGCCGATCACATAAATCACAAAATGAAGTCTTTCAATTATATACACCTGCATGCAATTGAAATTTCCTCTAATTCTCTTTTTAATTTGTAGCCGTGATTCTTTATTGAAAACTAAAATACATACAACTATCACAACGACTCATCGATATAAGTAACATCAATATTCATCAAAACGTTTGCTTTGCGATGAAATCAGTACATCTTCAGATCAACATTATTACTAACAGTCACTGAATGTTAAACTTTAATAAAAATCTCATGGATTTTCAGCTACATAGATTACAGGTAAGTGCATTACGTATCAAAACAAGTTCCATACAATATATCAGGTAGAATTCAAATACTATCAGCCATACAGCCATCGTTTATAGTACTTTGCTCAATTTTCATACATATAGATAGATGAATGAGTTGATTTACTTT